ACTATGTGTTAACAGACCTCTCTGCACTTAATCATCACTTGTTATTAATCTGTGTCTCTCTTCCACAGCATATCTTTATCCTGTCTTCCTTCTGTCACCCCAATCAGTCACGGCACTTGCCCGCCCCTCCCTGAGCCTGGTCCTGCCAGAGATTTCTTCCTGTTAAAAGGGAGTTTCTCCTTCCCACTGTCACCACAGTGCTTGCTTTCGTATGATTGTTGGGTTTTCTCTGTATATATGGTCTACCTTACAGTATAAAAATGTGTAAAATGCCCCCAGCCGACTGGTGTTGTGATTTGGCGCTATCTAAATAAAATTGAATTAAATTGAAATTGAATTACAAAAAGTTAAAGTCTACACCTTTACATTTAGTATATTTAGTTTTCTTTAATTTACATTTTTTATTCCCTCTATTGATCGTCAAGTCTCAATTCCTACTGCGAAATCTTGATAGTAAGGTCAAAATTTGAAATTAAACCACAGCATGGAATCATTTGACTAGAGCTATTCAACAATGTCAACACTTCAGACTGGTGTGAAATGGTGTGGACAGTATTTTCTTTCATGATTTCTTTCATAACCCTTATTACCAAAAGAGCATGATCTAAATAAATTAAATAGGAGATTAACATCTTTATTCACTTTTACTCACTTACAGTTATTTATTCACCTTTCAGTCACTTTAATTTTAAAACTGTGTATATACTGTATCCCACTCTTATTGCCTGTTTATGCCCTGTCTTTATCTTCAACGTCATGCTGCTCTGTTGTATGTTCATAGCCCCTTGGGGATAAATAAAGTCTTTCTGACTCTGATTCTGATTCTGAACAGAGATGGCCACAGATCTGATGTTCCAGAAAACAAGCTGGAACGACCATGTCTACATGCCTCGTCTAAATGTCTTGACTATGTCTAAAATCTAAAACACACAAATTGCTGCCATGTGATTGGCTACTTAGATGTGTCAGAGACCTGGAGAACTTAAAAGTGAACATAAAATACTACATATAGTGAGGATAATTTTGACCATGGAACCATACTCTAGAAAGCTGTCATAGATTTAACACTGTCTGTGAAGCTGGATGCTGGATGGTTGCTACTAGTAGCCTTATATTGGTTTATGTTAACTAACTAGTGACAGAGCTGGTAGCTCAGTGGAAAAAAAAGGACACTAAAACTAAAATGCAGTGTAAGGGGGTCACTTTTGTACTGCCCCTGGTTGCAGAAATACATTTTATGTTAAGAAACCAAAGATATACTGTCCACGTTTACTCTCTGTTACTTAAGCAGTAAGTAGTTCTTTGCTGTTTGGCTAGCTACACTGAAAGTGGAAAATCAACCTTTTGGTTTGTGGGGCCCTTTATAAATGGGGACTGTGTGGAGGAGAGTTGTTTGAGTCAGGCGCACTGTGGTTCACCCGACCGACAAGCTAGTTACCAGTCTGACATTGTCAGTTCCCTGTTTGATTTTTCCTCACTGGTTTAGGTCTACAGGCTGAGCGGCGCAATCAGCTGACAGAGCAGTACTATTTTAAGCAATAGAATATGTCTCGTGCGCATTACTTTTCCCTCGAACAGTCTCTCACTGTCGTTCTCTAAAACCTAAAAGAGAATTATGGATTTGATCAACTGGTCTCTGAATGCTATTGACACCCTTTTCTCAACGAGAAGTCTGGGCTCGGGAGAGCCCGAGTGCCCTGGAGGGACTTTCCCTGCCGGATACACGATGGATGGGCGGCAGAAATAGAGGCTCTTGTGCCTGGCAGGACTGTCGATCAAGGACGCTGAAGATATCTACCTATTCGGAACCATGATAACAGGGTTCTTGCTGATCGGAGCTGGCTTGGCCCTGACTTATCGGAGAAATAAGAGAGCGGAACCAGCTGTTCAAACCCCCCCCCCAGGCTGGAATTGAAGCGATGGGACGAGGCGCGACCTCTCACACCGAACGCAGCATGGTTAGCACCTTGGAGACGCTTACAGCTGCCGTGAAGACTCAAACTAACACCATTGAGCGTATGATGGGATACATCAGAGAGGGGCCTGCTCAAAATGACACCCTTGAGCGAAAGTTGGATCACATTGCAGAACGGATCACTGCAGTTGTGGGGTCTCAGAATCAAAAGAATGACAACACCACGGAACAGAAGTTTGATACCATCATGGGGAGGCTCGCGGCTCTCCAACGGGAGATCGAGAGACCAGTGTCAGAGTGCTAAATTCGAGCTGCTCGCATAAAGGAGAAATCAGCAATATTCAACATATAGACACCACGGCGTCAGCTGCTCAGGCCCAAGGCTAGAGCCGACCAAAACAACTCCCTGATAACGACTGTGTGATGACTATTCTTCCCATCCCATGCAAGGCCACCTGGGTTGGCTGGCAGATTGTTTACTTAGCCTGATAGGGCGAAGGACACTGTCTCAGCTGGACTCTGGACACGCACAGACATATACTTACATTGATAAGCCCGCACTCATCCCCCTCCCTTTCCAAACGCCTTCGATGGTTGTTTCCTGTGGGGGAAGACGGCGGGTCTGCGTGCCGCGCTGAAATGGTAGCGCTGTGTAGGACGACTGCTGTGTTCCTTCGGATTACCCCCCCCATCCAACCCCTGTGGCTTGTCACGTGCTCTAATGTTGTGATGTGGACATTAATGTGCTCTCTTTGCAGAGGAGTTTTTTTTTTGTTTCCTGTTCTCATGCTGTCCTCCCATAGGTGCCCAGCGTGAGAAGAGGTCTCTTTTTTTCCTGTTGTACTTTTCCCATTGCTGTGTACTTTTTCAGTGTTTTCTCTGTAATGCTGCCGATCTCCGACTGTATTCCCATGTGATGTCTTTGTTGCGTGTGTAAGTCTTTGTTGCGTGTGTAAATCTATTCCTCTGCGGGGCAACCTGCATATGGCCAATAAAGCATTCATTCAATTCTCTTTTCCCATGCACAAACCATGGAAACCTCATGTCCTTGTTTTTCATTGAGTAGAACTTCATACTTGAGGAAATACCAAAATGTAAGTGCGGGGTTGGTGTAGCTCAGGAGGTAGAGCAGGTCAGTTGCTGGTTGGGACGGTTGGTGGTTCAATTCCTGGCTTCCACAATCTGCATGCCAAATATCCTTGGGCATAATACTAACCCTAAGTTGCTTTCTGGTGCATCCATTGGAGTGTGAAAGTTAGAAAGCACTTGTGATTGTCAGGACACATGTAGTATTTCATGTCCATTTTAAGGTGGATTGATCCACTTTTGCAGCCAGCCTCAAGTGGCCATTCAAGGAACTGGTGTTTAGTTTGAATTTTCACCTTCAGAGTTTAGTGCTTGGTTGAAGCATAAGAATACAGAAGTAAATTTTGTGAGATGACATTTGGAAAGGGTCTGTCAAAGACAAATGCACTGAAAGCTGGTGAAGACTAAAAGCAGACAAACCATCAGATGAAGTGGAAGCACAGACAGACTGTGTGTGCGCACTGTTAGTGTGTCACTTGGTAGGTTAACAGCGACAGCAGTAAATAAAAGTGAAATCAGTGAAGTCAGTAAAATCTTGCAATGAGCAGATAATGCATACAGTACAAACTGTTACACATATACAGACACTGGATGTGTTTCAACCACATACAGAGATTGCACCATTGACAGTGCACGAATGATGCAAGACTATAGATATTTATGCATTTGATGAAAATGCTGCTGTCATTAACAGTACTTTGATATATGACTTCTCGGTGACAGCTCTGTTTGCCAGTGTTCTCCACAGATGAGAGTTGCCATGGGACAGCGATGAGAGCGTCTGCTTGTCTGTCTCTCTCTCCGTCTTCTTCCTTTATTGTTTTGCTTCCTTTTAGCTGCTCTGCCTCTGCTAAGACAGAGGCTGTCAGGATTGGCTGAGAGCTAAATTGCTCAGCGCGAGCTCGGTCACAGCTCAGCTCTCCTTGAGATAATGAAATGACAATTAATGAGAAAGCTGTTGCCATTCGCTCATTTGTTCACTTGCAAGTCGAACGGCAGTATGTAGAGACAGACAGAAAGCACTGCAGTCGTGGCAGGCATTGGAAAGTGCCCAGCGGTTGTTTTCATATTAAAGCTGCTGTTAAAAATTCATGTGACTATCACAAAACGAAAGTTTAGCCCAGTGGTCAAACCATGATTCAAAGGAAATATCATTTCAATACCAGACTGAAAACAATTTCCAGATAGATTTCTACCTAAATCTAAAAGTCAACAATCAGAATACATGTGCTTGTCTGTCGAATTATATGGGTAGAGACTTTGGATGCACCTCTAGAGAGATATGTCGCACGTGTGGAAAAGGTATATCCTTTATTAACCCAGAGACACTTCAGTCGATACATTATTTACCATAGCCTGGGCCCTACACAGCAAAGAGCCAAACAGAGCTCTGGCCTACTGAGATAGTCCCTGACAAAATGGCAGAATACACACATATTTCCTCAAAAAGAAAGAGTGAAAGCAGGCCCTTGGGCATCTCATAAAACCTCTCTCCAATATGTGCTGTGAAGTCAAAATTGTAGCCCAAAAACCACAGAGAGTAAAAAAATAAATTCTATTTAATTTCTGTCTGCTGTTGTTGTCCGTTAATGCATTTTCCTCCCAAAGTCAATACACTTGTAGAATAAAACATAAAATTATCTTAGTAGAAGTAACATGCTCACAGAATAGGAATTGCATACTGTATATGGATTTGTGTTTTTAAAAGACTCCGGGCAGGCATTTTATGTTTCTGCCTGTAAATACAATTATTTTAACTGAAGGCAAAAGCTAGTAAAGTATGACATGAAATTGCATCATTTCTGTTATTATGCTAGTGGGGGATGTGATAAAGCTGTGTAATCTAGTTAGCAAAGTCCCTGTTTGCATGGCTGATCAAGCTAAGCTTCGTGTGAGTGCATTACAATAAAAAGGCTCAGTCAAGTACACAAAATGAAAATGGAACAAAATGACTCCAAGGTGTGGAGCACACTGCAGCATGGGACGATTCAGTGCTTACCTGGTATTGGTTGGCCTTGGCGAGTTCTTGATTGGCTGACTCCACATTAGAAGAAGCTGTCTGGATGTAATCTTCAATACTATCTGAGGAAACAAAGAACAGATTGGATTCCTTTTAATATAACAACATACAACAATACTCATTCATTCACTGACTTGCTCACTACTGGTTTGTAGAGCCTCACAAGTACTACAGTTGCAGGAATTTCACCTCATCAGAAATCACTGCACATCTATAACATTGTACATATTGAACAAAAATGATACACAATATCTGTAATAGTAGTATAGAAGTAAAAACACCCCTGTCAAAACAATGCACTACATATTTGCCATACATCATGCCTCAGAAACCAGTGTTGCAAATATATACTTTAAAGGCCTTCAAAATATGAAACAATCTTTCTGCCATCATCATGCTGAAGATTTGATTGCCAGCAATCTTAGTTGCCCATCTTAGCGTTGTGGACGTGTACAGGTCTTGTAGGGAATTGCAGCCAATCATCTTCTCATTGAAATGGACGACACACTGCAGTCTGGCTTTGTCCTTGGCAGTGGCAGCAGCGAACTAGATGGTGATGGAGGAGGTGAGGAAAGACTCAATGATGGAGGAGCTAAAATTGTACCATCACAGACTTAGACAGGTTATATTTCTTCAGCTGGTGCAGGAAGTGGCTTCTTGTTGAAGTAGCTGATCTTTAGGTCCCACTTTAGGTGCTGGGAGATTGTTCCCAGGAAGTGAAAGGACTTGATTGTCTCCACTGGACAGGCATGCTGGAATATGGGAACTGGTGGAGCTGGAAGTCCAGTATCATCTCTACTGTTTTGATAGCATTGAGCTCCATGTTGCTCCAGACTCAACCCCACCTGAGGTGAGCCCTGAGAGCGTGGTGTCAACCGCAAACTTCGGGAGTTTAATGGAGTGGTGATTGGAGGTGCAGCTGTTAGTGTGTAGAGATATGCAGAGGATAAAGTACAAAGCCCTGAGGGGAAGCAGTGCTGATCCACTGAAAGTCTAAACCATACCAGTCTCACATGCTTCCTTGAATTGAACTGGGAGATTGTATCCTGCAGCCCAGCTGGGAGGATGGTATTAAAAGCATAACTAGAGTCCATAAAAGGCAACCTCAAGTGCAGTGCTGTTGGGTCTGTATTCAAGGACCAAGATGGGGACGATGAAGTATGTGAGATGGGACAATACAAGCTTAGATGTCAACAAGGACTTGTAATTACTAGAACTCACCCTGGCGTGTGATGCATTATACTTTAACTTAGTGCTCCATGTTTACATATAATGGTGGAGTGCTAAGTTAAGACTAGATTAAACTCAGTTGTGCATAGCTGGAGACCCGAGTAGCCATTCCTGTTATACTTCTTTAAAGTCTGCCTGGGCATAAACATGCTTGGTGGATTGTTATGTAAACTCTCTGTGGACTAGTTCACATGGCCATAAGAAACAGGAAGACACACTGATGCACTCTCACGCTTACTGTCTGATGATGAAATTTATCTCGGTGGGACCCAAGCAGACCGTAGTGAACATAGTCACTTTGGCTTCAAAAGGCCAACATGGCAGCAGCCAAAGCTCCAATGTTCAGAGATGGGTGACATCTCTATTGTTCATCGTTTGTATAGTTTAGAGGTAAAGCCTACTCTTTGTTTTTTTTTAGCAAACTGTGTGAGATTCTTTTCGATTTAAACATTTCATGTGAATATCATGATGGCTGAAGCCTGTTAATATGCAGCTGCTATCAACCTGCATGTGCTAAGCAGGACTTGAAACAATTACTCGTGCTGAAGTTGGCAGGTAGTCAGTATACCCTGCAGGAGCTGCTTTCTTAGACTACAGCATCAATTAATGTTCAATGGGAAGACATGTTACAGTAATCTGTCAAAATAAAGTTCACAAAGTCAGCAGTTCGTAAGCTTTTGACGTTGGCCTCGAGGTGTGGCCTCATTTAACCTCCTATAATCTCATATAACTTGCCTAAGTAGCCTAATACTACTGTTGTACCTTTCTGTGTGTGGAGACAGAAATATTGAGAAAGTCAAGATGGTGCAAAGGACAGAAGCAGGAAAAAAGACAGAAACAAGACCAGGACACAGTTCATAGGTAGCTGAGGCCTTATGTACTCCTGTTTTTAACCACTGCAACCCTACACTGCTTATCTAACTGAAAAATTATCAAAAGAAATGTTTCAAATCATGTGGTGATTCAGATATATTCATAAGTAACACATTAATGATGCTCTTCTTGGCCTTTCATTGCAAGATTTTTAAGTAAATTTGTGATTTTGCCCGTCCGCATCCGACCCCCCTTCCGATTTACAGTATTAAATCTTTCTATTAAGAATCTGACTTTTTTTTTTTTTGTGTCCCGTTTGGATCTTTAGCCATCAGAATTGTTGTCTTAAGGCCAAGAAAGATGCCAAGCGGATTTATTTTACCAAGTGGATCATCATGGCCTTGCCATATTGGTCCATTTGATTGACTTTTATTATAATTATGAATTTATTTTATTTTCAGTTGCTACAAACGGGACAGACATGATTGGGGGATAGGACAGGGAGAAAGAATGAAAGAAAGAGAGGGAGAGAAAGAAAACCAAAGGGGAGAAGAGACGGTGAGAAGGGGGGGAAGAAAGAGAAAACAAAACAAAACACCTGGGTCACCTGTATGGAGAAAAAAAACAGAAGAGAAAGCAAACAACAAAGAGCAACATAATAAAAAAAACGGCACCATCACAATAAACTAGCTAGCAGTAGATATCAGTAGATATTAAATAATAAATGATATTGTGCAGCACGCAAGATAGACAGCGCACAATGTGCTTTGAGGCAGCAGCCAAGAAAGCTGTAGTCCGCGTCTGTGAATACCCGTGTGTACACCTGTGTGCATACCTGTGTGGATCAGCATGCTTGCATTCCAAAGGTTTCTCCATGTAACGATCTGCTAGGGAGTGTGGGGAGCCACAGCCCCGTCCTCCAGGGCATGAAGCAGGTATGGAGGAGATCAAAACTCCAGACATCCAGAGCCCCCAGAACATAAGAGACCAAGGAAGACCAACAGAGGGGCAGCCGCGCCACTGTCCCAGTAAGAGCTGAGGAGAGTCCCAGATGAGGGCTCACTCAGCAGCCGCGGAGCAGAAGCCAGGGGGAGTTGCAGTGACGCGCCCGTGAGCTCCGCCGGCAGCCAGCTGTGCCTGAGTGACCGAGCCCCAGGCCGAGAGGCCGGGGGCACCCCACCTCCGAAGTGGCCCGAGCAAGCCCCAGGCTCCAGGCCCCGATAAGCGGCCGCCAAGGAGTGAGCCGGTGTGTACCCGGACGCCCATCCCCAGACACAAAGAACCACCAACGCACCGACACCTGAGGGAGTGCGCCACTGGCAGGGGAAGTGGTGGTGGGTGGAGATAGGCCTCCAAACCTTGGAGGGCCTGAGATGTCCCCAGAGAGGTGGCGTCTGATACCCAACCTGACATATAGACACAGACATACAGGCACACACAGACACAAACATCCATTCCCACCCTCATGCTCTCATATGCACTTACTCCACACTCAACCAACGTGGAGACAGACATAAAGAGACGCTGTACACACGATCACACTCCCCAAGCGTACTCTACAAACCGGGTCTAGGTACCCTTGCCCCTGGAGGGGGGAACTGCACCCAGACCCAGGTGGTGTTACCCTTTTCCCTGCGGTGGGGAGAGGCAGACCGCCCCGACTCCGCAGCAGCAGGGAGGCCCCACACTCCAGACCGCAGTCGGACGGCCAACTCCTCCTAGCCCCCCCGCTCCAGCAGGCCGCAGAGAACGGGGGTGAGAGAAGACTCCAAACCTCCCTTTCTTTTAAAGAATCCGACTTTAAAAGAAAGTTCATTTTCTGTTATTTTAACTATGATTAATTCTCGTACAGTACATTAACAGAGGCTTCAAGGTATTACCACTGAAAGGAATTGTGGTCATAGCACTTGAAATATGTGCCCTGAAATTAACAAAAAAAGAATATGAGCAAATATAGCAAATATATAACATTAACAAAGATTTAGTAGTTACTTCCCTTTGTCATCACTGGCATACGCAGATGATGTTACATTTCAAAAAAAATCATCCAAATAAATGACAGAAAGAACACTAAATACAACCTTGCTGATTCATCTGTAATAACACTTTGCACCGGAGTAATAGTCTATATTTGATCCATGAATATACATTTACATTTATAAACATAAAAAAAGAAAGTTAGAATTTTAATGCTTCTGCGTAATATGAAAAGACCAATGGCTGGAATACTTTGCCACCTGTGGGAGCAGTGTTAAAGAAGTGACTCTTCATTGTTACTCTTGACACATAATCAAGCGGTACCAGGAGCTACTGGTCTAACAGTTAACACTGCGACAGCAGCAAGACCTCCTCTTTTAAACTTGTCAATACACGGACATTAATGGGATGAGACCGATGCGTTTAATGAAGTGGGTGTTTCAAAATCTTTGGTATCACCACATAGTTACCCACATATATTTACAGCTGGCCGATAACAGTGAGAGTACTATTGATTGTTTTGGTGTAGTGAGAGTAAAAAGGTTGCAGCCAGCTCAAAGATGTGTCTTATGTTTAAGGCTTCAGTGGCCCCTGATAATTACTGCACCAGTTGAGCTTGTAGAGAATTAACTTTTGAACTTAACAAGAGGAGGTGGTTGGGTGAATGAATTGTGCTGATTGACTAAAAGCATTTACTCTGTAATGGTGAGTTAAAGAAGACGGGGAATACATGCTTAGATTCACCAGCTCAAGAAGTAAGCCTGATTAATGGACTCATTAATTAATTCTGTTTTTTTTCTGCCCTTCTGCTCAGAGGATGTTCTTTGCCATGATTAGGAAATATTTGGCTTTAAAGAGGTAACTTAAACTAAACCCAGTAGTTAAAGATAATAAGTAAGATTTTGTGGGTACCAGAGTTTAAATGTGTTTCAATAGGTTTTCAGGCGATCCACCATTTCACCAAAAGGGTATAGAAGGCAACTGCCTTGAAGACAAGGGACCACTGATGATCACTGTATGTCTATAGGCAATTTTAATCATT